GCTGTTGGGGGAGAAGGGTAGGGGGGAAAGCATGCTTTGGCACGGTTTAAGGCAACTGTACCTAGTGAGAGTACGCCCCATGTTAATTTTAATTTGCCTTTTTTTTTAAATAAAAGTAACTCATATCGAAGTATATCCCAAACAATTTTCAAAAGCTATTGCAAATAGGATTTGCAATTACATTTTCAAAATGTGGATGAATAAATTGTGACATAATCCAAATGCAAATCCCGCATTACCGCTTGCATTTTTGATTTTGGAAATGTGCAGTGATTGACACTTTTCAAATGAAAAAGCAAAGTCAATTGGCAAAAGCATTTCTTATGTCTAGGCCCACACAGAATTTGTGCGCGCAGATTTTCCGCAGATTTCTGCAGATTTTTAGCCCTTTATTAATTCTGTTTATTTACTTGAGTAAATGTGTAAATCTGAATTTATTCAATTCTTATTTAGTAATTTATTACTTTTTAATGAATATATTAAGGTTTTAGTTATGATACTCCGCTGGATACTCCCAAAATAATTCTGCAGAAATCTGCAGATTTTTTCCAAAATTCTCCATAGAAATAGCAAAAAACGTCCGCAGATTCCATCTGGCCCTGCTTATGTCTTACGAGCTATGAGCCTGACATATCTAAATAGCAATATTAATAGCTTCATTTGCTTGTTCCTTTTCTTTGCATCTTGCATGTAACCCACCATGTAACTCAAAAGGAATAGCAAATCCTTTTGCAATTGAATTTCCTATGTGTACACTGAAAATTGGCAATCAAATGACATGAGTGGAACTACTATATTGGGCGTTTGTATTCGGAAGTGACATCACACACAGTCGACAAAATATTTGCGAAAGCGGAACTGAAAATGGTATTGTGGGATTTGCAATTGCATTTGGATTGTCACAGTTTATGCGTCCACATATTGAAAATGCAATTGAGGATCCTATTTGCAATTTTTGAAAGTAATGTGTTACTTTACTGATTCCTTAGAAAAGAAATATTATGCAACTCGCGTAACTTGTAATACATTACCCCCAGCACAGACAGCGCAATTATTTTTTCATTACATGTCTTATTAAAATATCAAGATGTTAATATTTTATGGCTGAAAAGTTTTCTGTGTCATCTAGCTGCAAGCAGCAGAGGTGTTTAGTGACATTAGGCAGTGACAGGCTTAAAGCAGATTGAAGCATCACTGACCACCGCAGCTGCTAGTCTTCACGTGACCCTCGCTGTGTGCTATTTGTGGGTTTCAATGAGTTTGCTGCCACAAAAGCATCTGCCTCGTGCTACAGAAGCACATTGGGTTTGAACACCTTCTCTTGCTTGTATTTATTACGGGCTAAGGGAGAAAGGACATCTTCAGAGGTTTCGCTTTACAAATCCTGATTGAGTTTGAGACATAAAGGAGGCACTGAACTGAAGCCAGGACTTAGTGAAGAGACAACCAAAGGGCTTTTCAAGCTCTGATTTATTTATTTTTGTGACTTGGTAAGAATTTATTGGAAACTTCAAAACCCTTGTGAATTTCATGTCTGCTGTTTGTTTTGTCAGAGTTTCTCTTGAAACCCGTTATTGGTTTTGCTCACTGAATGATGCAGTGGCACTGATTTATTTGAGATGCTTCTGGGTTTTGGTCGCCTTCTGGGAGACTCAGAATCTGGGTATTTCAGATCTAATTATCTACTGATGGCTTTCTGCAATTAAACATTAGTGGAGTATTTTTAGCATTTGTGTTTTAGTTGTGATGTGTTACCAGTGGATGAGACTAATGCAGTGTATCTTGACTAGAGCATGTCCATCATAGTTTTTTCCTGTTTATATACAAATGTGGAAAAATAAGCAGTTGTGTTTGAGGCTAGGGCTCTGTAAAAATGAATTTTTGTTTTTCCTAATTCCATTTTATTTATATTTTCATTATTCCTGACTGCCTGTCAAATTTATCTTTTATTTCCTAAAAACTCATTGGTAAACAATTAATGTAATAACTATTTTAAGTCTTAATAATGCCTTCTTCAAATTATTACTATTACTTTTTATTGTTTTGAAGTACAGTACTGGTAAATGGTTCTACTTTTATCACAGTGTTGACCCTGGCTACACAATATATCTTTTCAGCATCGATGTCGCAATGTGCATATGTGCATTAGTCACAATGATCTGCAATGTCCAGTCTAAATTTTAGTTGACCAGGAGCTACAGAATCATTTTTACGATCATATCACTGAATTTACTTTATGATTTATGCAAAAAAAAAAAAAAAAAAAAAACGGAGTTTTTATCTTGTTTCTAGTTCAAATATCTACTTACCCCACTAGCAGACAATTGCATTACAATAAGCATACTCTTAATTTTCACTGATTTTCTCTCACGGTGAAAACTTAAAGAGTATTTTCACTTGCTCTAAGATATATTTTTTGATATTTCGAATAGAACCAAAACAAAACAAAGTAAGCATTTTTTTTTTTTTGCATTTTTGCATTGATTATTCAATTTATGTACCCGAATGCTGTTAGACTCCCAAAAAAAACATTAAATCGACCTATTCAAACCATCTGCTGAAACTGTTCATAGCGTAATAATTATCGCTGAAAAATAATATATCGCAATATCAGATTTTTCTAATGTTGAGCCCCTTGTGTTGTAAAATGATACTTTGCTTTTAATTGAGGTGGTGAAGATGCTTGAGTTTTAGTTTCATGATATGATGAAATGTAAAATACTAATGGAGTAAACAGTCACAGCAGCTTTGGAGTTGAAGCTCATGTCTTCGTATAGTAGAGACTTTCAATAATAGAGACTTCTATAAACTTGAAGATTGTGCTTAAGAAAGCAAAATGATTTATTCAGACGTAAAATTTTTTTTTTTATTTTAAATTTTTTTACAGTTCATTTATAGTTCACTGTAAACTGGTTTATTACTAACAGACTCTATTTATACTTCCCAACTTGATGAGGGGTACAGCAGTCTGCATATATATATATATATATATATATATATATATATATATATATATATATATATATATATATATAAACACATTCTGTGGATTTCTTTTAATTTAGTTTTAGTTCTGGTTTTTGTTAAGATGTAGCTGTGACTTTTAATTACTGTTTAGCAAACTTTCGCCCACTCTCTCATTATTTATTTATTTATTTATTATTATTTAGTTCTTTATTTTAACAATAATAAGAAAAGTCAAACTTGCGAATTAGCAGGCCTACAACTAGTGTGGATAATTGTAACCATATCGAAAATAGATAGATAATTCTATATGCATTATTGTGATTTAAATATACTGTTAATAGAGCTGGAGAAACAAGAAAAGGAAATGAGCACACATGTTCTTCTGTTTATTGACATATGGAGTATTAATGGCATGCCTCTTATTCTCTCTAAATTTGCTCAGTGACGTTAGCTCCACACTTGTGTTTATAAATGGGTCCTACTGTAAAAGTGAAGCAATACCCCAGCTTTACTCCAGCCTGCTTTTGGCTTCTATCTATTACAGTTCAGATGAGTAAGAGGAATCATGCTGGCAGTGCTGGTCGCACCAGGCTCAAATATCATCACTCTTGTGACTCTTTCGGCACGGCTTATGTCAGGGTCGTGCCTCTTGCGTCATTTAATAACTTTTTGCTTTAAAAAATTTTTTTTTTTTAATTTACCTTATAGACGTGTTAAATTTGATGTTTTAAAGTGGCCTTTAATGCAATTTTGAATTGTTGCGTTTAGGGCTGCACAACATATCGCAAAAATATTTATCATGAGAAAACTAAGCCAAAAAGAAAATGAATGAATGGATAATCAGTAATGGAATCATTAATAAAGTTATTGCGATTTTGATAGTATATTCATCCAATCATTTGTTAATTTTTCTTTGGCTTAGTCTATTATTTGTCAGGGGTTGCCACAACGGAATGAAACACCAACTATTCTGGCATGTGTTTTAGTTTGTTTAACTTTTATCGTATTTATCAATGCTTTCAAGTTGTTTATTAAATATATGCAGATGCACTCCTCCCAAACTTAACCTAAAATCTTAAATTCTTTCTAAATAGAGATATTTAAGGTGTCTAGTGAAATTGTATTCATATCACTATATATATATATATATATATATATATGTGTGTGTGTGTGTGCGTGTGTGTGTGTGTGTGTGTATGTATGTAAATGTAGATAGATAGACAGACAGACACACATACATATCAGGGCACGGAATTAACATTTTTGCTTGATAGCACTGGTGCTCCCTAACTTTTAAAAATGTGGTCCACCAGCCCAAATTTAGTCGCATCCACCAAGAATTATGTGCACCATTACTACAAGTTTTGTATTAACAGATTTATTGCATTTGAAATCATCCTAATGATTAAATGAAGGATTAATTAGAGTGTCTCATGCTTAAAATGTGGCTCTTAAACACTGTTACCTGAAAGCTGCAACACACAGACTTTACAGTGAATGGTTTTAGGAGTCTTACCCACTCTTCGAAAAGTGTCATTAATCAGCTGTGTCATTGTTTCTGAAACTAAATCTTTCAGTGTGCTTTTTATTCTCTCATCTTCAGCGCTTTACATTTTCATGGTTGTAGCTTCCTATCACCTGAAGGCAGAAAGCATTGACTGAATGATTGACAACTGATATTAACTAATTCATAAGAGTTTAGTTCTAGTGCAGTACGCCAATCAAAAGAGGTTGAAGTGGGGCAAGTATTGCAGGATGTTTACTGTAGAAAGTTGATGTGACAATGTTTTAAACCATTCCAGAGTGCTGTGTAAAAATGCACCTTTGCCTAAAAACATGAATGTCTCCTAAATCTGCGCATCTGATGAATGTTTTGCAGTGAAAACTGGTCGCACGGCAATTTTATGCACTTGCACAAATGCTCTCAAATATATTTTAAGGTCATATAGATAACATTTTTAAACTGCTGATGAACAACATATAATGTGCAGCCCTAATAATATTAATTCTACTTTTTCCTTCACTTCTTCTAGGTCACTGGTCCTTCTGTCTCTATCTGTGTGGGTGAGTGTTTGAGTGTTCAGAAACGTCAGCATGGTTCTCACCATCATGAAAGAGCTTGGCAAGCAGCTGCTGCGCGTGAAGGTGGTAGACTGCAGCACAGAAGAGTCTCGGCTCTCTCGATGCCTCAACACATTTGACCTGGTGGCTCTGGGAGTGGGCAGCACACTGGGCGCTGGCGTCTATGTGCTGGCCGGAGCCGTGGCACGGGAAAATGCTGGACCAGCAATCGTTCTGTCCTTTCTGATTGCAGCGCTGGCCTCAGTTATGGCTGGACTGTGTTATGCTGAGTTTGGAGCTCGTGTGCCTAGGACAGGCTCTGCGTATCTGTACAGCTATGTGACAGTGGGGGAGCTGTGGGCCTTTATCACCGGCTGGAACCTCATCCTGTCTTATATTATAGGTGAGAAGAGGATTTCGGTGGTTTGACAGGTGTATTAACCTGCTGCACTCACTTTTTTGGATTTACACCTACCTAAATTTAAATAGTAACAGTTCTTGACTACAGTAAGCTACAAACATGAAAAGTTATGGGCAATCAATTTAAAATAATCCATGACAGAAGTTCACTTAAAAGTGAAAGTTCTTTCTGTCTTTAATTACTAACACTCCTGTCATTCCTACTACTTTCAGAACACAAATTTAGATATTTTACAATATGAAAATGCAATGAAATTATTAAAATTGTGAAATTAAAGCAATAGTGCAGAGATCTGGTCCCGCGACATGTCAGGGTGCACTCGTAGCCTTTAATGGCCCGTTTCCACTGACTGGTACAATACGGTTTGGGTCAGTACGGGTCACCTTTATCAGGCTTTCATTTCCACTACTAAGGGTACCCTTTTGGTGGGCTTGGTGTATTATAAGTTTCAGTCGCATCATTCTCGCTCTAGGAAATGTCAACAATAAATAAAGCTGTACTCTCGCGTTTGTCAGTGTCTGGCAGAATCGGGTTTCAGAATCACTTCAATAATCAAGCTCACGTTTACCGCTCGCGCCTCAGACTGGCTCGTAAAAAACTTCGAGGCACAGGGGTAGATTCTGCTCTACTCCATGGCTTTGTGGCTGTTCATCAACACAATGACAAGGTTTGTTTGAGCCCGGATTGACCATGGCTCGTTATTATATGTATATTTAATTCCGCTGTAATCTCTCGCTGTGTATTTCAAACATGGCGGGTATTGATTATATTCTGACCAAAAGCATCCAGCTGCGCGTCTAGCTTTGCCTATTGGTACCCTTTCGAAAGAGTGCCGAAAAAGTGGTACGGTTCGGTTTGGTACGCCTTTTGACCGTAGAAACGGCCATAAAAGCACACCGAACCGAACCATACCGTACCACTCAGTGGAAACGGTCAATAAAATGTGCACGCAAGTCCCCTTTACTTATGCACTATACCTATTTCATTTATGACACTTTAAACTTGACTTCGCAGGCTGATCATCTTTAAACTCAAAAGGCATTTTTAAGTGTCCTAACTTGAGACTATTGCTGCATAATGGGATGTTTCTTATTACAATTGTAAGCAATGTCAAAATGAAAGCAAATATTAAAAAGGGCTTTGCGGTTTATCAATTATATAGCAACCCATTTCTGGGAAACATCCACACACACATTCGTACACACACTCATACACTACAGACAATACGGACTATAGCCATACTTTATTGTTTGCAGCGAGAAGAAAAAAAATTATGAAAACCTAGCTGAGTAACAATATAAGTCAGATGTTTAAAAAAACAGCGTAGGTTCTCTCCACCTTTTGTTTTTTATTCATATTTTCAATTCTTTACCAGAAAAACTAACATGTTGACTTTGTCTGGTTTAAGTGAAGACCTAATTGGAGTTATAATGTTTCTAGCAAAACACGTTTCTATACACGATGCGTTCTTACCTAAGTTACCAAATATGTTGCTCCATTTCTCGTCATTGTCTTCCATTTATCACTTTCTCTTTTGTATCTGGCCATTTTTGGAAAGGCCTCTGGCTGTGATACCTGGCTGACTAGCTGGGCGTTTACGTTTAGAAGACAGGAGTTGATAATACGTGGCATTTTTTTCCCCTCGCTGCTGTCGATCGCCACTGGCTTGCATGGTTTGGGACCCGCAGAGCTGCTCATCGATGGATTTGCTCTTCAACACACTTTAACACTTTTTAACTTTTTTTTTTTAAACAAACCCTACAAAAAGCCTAATCCACATTAATTGGTTCACCTTTCTCGGTCTGCTCGAATCCAAAATGTTCCCAGATGTAACATTTGGTTTTCCAACAAGATTTATGGTTGAACTTGAACTTGAATCGCGCCTAATGTTATATTCTAACAGAAATGTAATACTTGACAGCATAACGGTAATTTGTGTTTTAAAGTGCGTGACGTCAGGTACTACCGCAAGCCGGTGGCAATGGACAACTGTGGTGGCAACTGACCACCGCAGTGACGCAGTTGTCACGGTGATCGTCACACTCCTGTGTGTGCGTGCGTGCGTTTGTTTGTGTGTGTATGTGTGTGTACGTGTATGTATATGTATGTATGTATGTAAGACTTTGTCCAGAAGAAAAAATATTATCAGACATACTGTGAAAATTTCCTTGCTCTGTTAAAAATCATTTGGGACAAAATTCAGATAATTCTGACTTCAACTGTACATATTTATATATGTATAAGTGTGTGTGTGTGTGTGTGTGTGTGTGTGTAGCACTAATTACATTTAGCAGATGCTTTTGTTCAATGTGGCTTACAGTTGAGGAATTATACAATTAATATTGTTATGCAAAATAACTGTTAGTGCTTCGAATTGAGTGCTTGACTAGGGAGGAGAAGAGTGTTTTTTTTTGTATAGAGACGACAGTTTCTACTGGTGGTTTGTCAAGCCTACTGACCTGTGTGAAGTAAAAAGTGTAATGCTTCTTTGTTTGTTTTTTAAGATATATTAAGTGATTGTAAAAAAAAAAAAAAAAAGTGTCTGGTGCAAATGTTGGTTAAAGTGTACTAGAGATGAAAAAAAGTGTCTTCTACAGTTGGTATATCAAGCCCACTCACCTGTCTGAGGCACACACAGAATTGCATAATTTTTTTGAGGTTGTCGTTGTGTGGAGTTGAGTTGTGTGGTGAGGGCTGGGGGTGATTTATGGTAATTTATAACACATATTATTTATGTCCTCTCTCAGGAACATCCAGCGTTGCCCGAGCGTGGAGCGCCACCTTTGATGAGCTCATTGGGAAGCATATAGAGGAGTTCTGCCGGCGGCACATGAGCATAAACACACCAGGACTGGCCGAGTATCCAGACATGTTCGCTGTGATCATCATCCTCACGCTAACAGGCAAGCCAATCAGAGGCAGATTACACAGTCATTCCTCTGTGTGTTTATAGTGTTCTGGAGTGCATGAAGTAAGTGTGTATCTTGTGTGTGACGTGCAGGTCTGCTGGCATTTGGGGTGAAGGAGTCTGCTATGGTTAATAAGGTGTTTACCTGTGTAAACGTGCTGGTACTGATGTTTGTGGTGGTGTCAGGACTGATCAAAGGAACTCTCCAAAACTGGAACCTGAATCCAGAGGACATCCTCAACCACACCACTTCTGCAAAGTAATTACTCTCTTCATTTTCTTTTGATGCAGTTATGAAAACACAAAAACATCCCTATTTTGAATCGGATCATGGATTATTTTATTGATCAAAAGAAAAGAACAGGAAATTGTTGTAAAGTTTTTATATATAAATTAATTTTTACGTTTTTGTTATGATACTCCCAAAATCACTCAGCTTAAATCCACAGATTTTTTACAGAATTCTTTAATAAGGCTATACACACACTATATACAGTTGCCTTGAACCTGGCCAAAGAACGCTTGTCCACCCTCCCGTCTCCCCTGACGGCCTGCACTCACATTACATTCAGGCCTGGGCATGCTTACGTCATCGATGCTGCGCTGTTCAGTAAGCTCTCAATCAGCACAGTGGCGATTTCTTTAGTTATATCGTTTAAGTCGTTTGGGATGCAGTGACACACAGTCAAATGTTTCGCCGAACAGATCCGCCACTTTTGGCATTCATCAACAATCATAAAGTTCTCGTGCTGCAGGAATTAAGAGGTTTGCTGAAGGTGCGCAGCTGTGATGCAGTGAGGGGTTTTGGGTCTTTAATAAACTATATCAGTTTTCATTACACAGTAAGAATGATTAACTATTCCATATGAAACGGTCCCCTAAAAGTCTCGCTTTCAGTTTCGGGCTTAGGCACGTTTTGCACTCACACACAAGCGTACCGCGCCAAAGCCCAAGTGAACCGCGCTCAGGCCCACCTCTTCCAACCAGGCCAGGGCTGGCCAAGTGAACCTTGCCTGAGCCCGATTCAGCACACTCACACTTCTCAAACGATCCGGCAAACAAGCCTGGGCACGGTTCGGATAGCATAGTGTGAGTAAGCTTTAACTCTAGTTTACCAAACTTAAAAATAAAAATAAAAAAATTTCAAAATAAACAAAAATGTTAGAAACCAGAATGAATGGCAACCATAATTATATAACTAAAATTATATAAACCTTTAAATAAATGTAAAATAAAAATGTGTGTGCAGCGGGGAAAAAAGTATTAAACATGTCATGTTTTTTCTTGGGAATAATACTTTTGTAGGAGCTTTTGACATGGAATTGAACCAGATTTTGATAAAAACCCAAACAATACAAACATAAATAGAAAACGAAAAAGAAAAAAAAAAAGAAAAATGAGGTAAGTGGAATAACAATTGAATGACACAAGGAGAAACTACTGAATTGTATTTAATACTCCATATAAAAGTCTTCATGATTCTGGTAGCTTAAAGACGCATATTTAAAATGTCCCATCTATCAAATCTGATCTTTATTTTGTATTCTCTATTGGATTTAAGTCAGGTCATTGGCTGGCCATTCTACAGCTTGATTTTCTTTCTCTGAAACCATTTGAGTTTCCTTGGCTGTGTTTTGGATCATTGTCTTGCTGAAATGTCTACCCTGTTTTCTTCTTCATACTGCTGCTAATGTATATGTTGGACTAAAGCAGCTAATATTAATTTACATTGAGGAAGGGCAGAGGGTTGCGGAGGGATTTTACTGCCTTTCTACACATCCCTGCCTTCATGTGTTCAATACTTTCCCCTGTGTTATTTATTTTATTATACATAACTTAATTTGTGAAGTAATTAAATGTGTTTTCTTTGCAAATATAGATTTCTTTAGTTGTTACCAACATCCAGGGAAAGTTTCGAGTCAATGGCACCTTTAGAAATATGTTTTCTAAGAAAAATGATGACGTGTTAAATACTTATTTTCCCCCATGTATATATTATTTTATTTGGTTATTTATAGATTTTTTTTTACGTTTGCAATTTATTTTATTTAGTTTAATTTACTTTTTGTATTGCTATAGTAATGCTAATTGATGATCTTAAACATAACATTAAAAAAGTTGTACGCTCATGAACATGGCCTTTCTTTTCTTTGTCTGAGGAAGATGCCACAGCTTAGTACTTGTTTGTGTTTTTAGTGTGTCTGTGCCACTGCCAACTGAAGAGAGTCTGGGTTTTGGTGGATTCATGCCGTTCGGCTTCTCTGGAGTTCTGTCCGGTGCCGCCACCTGTTTTTATGCTTTTGTCGGGTTTGACTGTATCGCCACAACAGGTGAGGTTTTTCATTTTGTTGACCACAAAAATACCTCTGAATTTCATCAGTTGAACCCAAAAGAAGATATTTTAAACAAAGCTGAAAACCTGCATTGACTTGCATAGTATTTCATTTTCCTACTATGAAAGTCAGTGGTTACAGGTTTTCAGTTTTTTTTTTCAAAATATGTTCTTTAACAGCATAAAGAAACTTTTAAAGGTTATAACCACTTGAGGGTGAGTAAATAGTGAATAATGTTTTGTTTCTTTTGTAGTTGAAAATATCCATTTGCTTAAATGTGCTGAAAAATCTAATTTTGTGGGTGAAATCAGATTTAAATTTCTTAATTTTGGTGTTTCTCTGTATGTTAGGTGAGGAGGTGAAGAATCCCCAGAGGGCTATACCCATTGGCATTGTAGCCTCTCTCCTCATCTGTTTCGTCGCTTATTTCGGTGTTTCGGCTGCACTGACGATGATGATGCCGTACTACATGCTGGACAAAAACAGTCCTCTGCCTGTGGCCTTCAAATATGTGGGCTGGGAAGGAGCGACGTACGCTGTAGCCGTTGGCTCTCTTTGTGCTTTGTCTACCAGGTATCTAACAGTATTTCTTTATATGTGTGTATTTTTGTTCATTTTAAAGCTGCAGTGCGACATTTCTGTGCAATGTGAAAGTTACAAGCATTTCTGCAGAATCCAATGGAAGAAATGCTGATAAACATGCACAAAGTCATGCTGTTGCTTATTGTATTGATGAAATGTGAAATGCTCATTATATTTTAAAGTGGTATTGAAGGTTTTTTTTTTTTTTGCTCTGTCGTATAACCCCTTTAATCAGATAGTTCACCCAAAATGCCATTATACCTTTACTTACCTCAGTCAAAACAAGAAAGAAAGAATTGATTAATTGATTGATTTCAATTTTTTTTTGTCTACAGCACTATATTTTTAATATTTATATTAATTTTTGTTTCTTGGTGTTTCCTAAAATAAAAAGTCGATGGCTGCTGACAACAGTAAAATAAAATACATATACAGGTAAAACAAAATGATTACTTGTGGCTCCTGGTGAAACATTCAAGTGAAACTATTAGCCTGTGCAATTCATTTTGTATTATGTGTGGGTGAGTAAATTTAACAGCAAATTTTCATTTTTGGGTGAACTATCCTTTTAGTACCTGAATTTCAAGTTGTAAACCTGCAGAATTTAATAATTAAATGACTGCTTAAGTTGAACTTACTGTTTTTTCTAATGTAATTTGTTTAAATTTAAAATGATTTACATAGTTTTTTATTGGTCATGACACTCCTACCGCAAAGTCCCACATAGAAAAACTTTTATGCATGCATGCATCAAATGTTGTTTTGGGTGACCAGTTTTTTCAGGGCACAACCATATTATGTTGTGTGTCTGCGTGTGTGTGTGTGTGTGTGTGTATGTGTGTTTGTGTGTACATATATACAACATGTATATATTCTTTTAATCCCAACTTATTTTTAAAATGTAATTTATTATTGTAATTTAAAAAATATATTTCAGCGTCATTACTCCCATTTTTTTATCACATGATCCTCTAGAAATCATTTTGAAATGCTAATCTGCTGCTTAAGAAATGCTTATTGTTATCAGTGTTTTTTTATTTCTTTTAAAATTGCTTATTTACACTTTACAAAACAAAGTTTAAAAGAAATGCATTTAATCTAAATATACTTCTGGTAAACTTTTGATCAGTGCTAGCTTAATATAAATTTAAATGAATTACTTTACTATTACTATTACTATTACTTTACTAGACTTTAAACAGCAAAGTATACATGTGGGCTTAAAAAGAAAATGTGGTTTGATGTTTCATGACCTTTAAACACTGTTTTTTCCCCTACTAAAGCTAATTGGCTTCAGTACATATTATAATGCACATCTAACAGCATTGCATGGCTTGGATCTTTCTTTTTGTTTTTCTCCCCTCAACTAGTCTGTTGGGCTCCATGTTCCCAATGCCACGTGTAATATGGGCCATGGCTGAAGATGGGCTGCTCTTCAAGTTCTTGGCCAACATAAGTGAAAAATCCAAAACGCCCATAATGGCCACTGTAACTTCCGGCATAGTGGCAGGTGAGGCTCATAAAGACTAACACACTCACTTCTTTAGACATGTGGCGTCAACCTCTCAAACTGCACCATGACTTAAAACCAATCCACTAAACTCCAACAAACTAAATCAAACTTTGTGCTTTATACAAGCCTTTCCATTCAGAGAATTGCAGCTAAAGTATACAAAGCAATATAGACTTCCATTTTATGGTTTTAAATTAGCAAATACCTTTTCCACCTACACCCCATGATGCTTTGGGTGAATAATATGAATAACTTTCATTTTAAGGTGCTATATAATAAAAATCCAGACATACCCAGGCATAGCTGAATGATGATGATGGTGATGACACACTGTGAGCCTCAAACACTAGTTTCCTTTTTTTCATGTAATTTCTGTGGGCAATATCCAGGTGAAAAACAGGCCAAATGGAGCAAAACAGCGACTCTGACATAGCTGCGTTTGATTGGCCACAACGTTTACTGTGTATGTGGGTCTCTTATTTTAAATAAAAGGGAATAAGCTGAAGTTATGAGCTTTCTTACAAACTGGCAGCATCTCATCCGTTTGCAGCTCGCCAGAATGCAAAATGCAGGATATACGAATTAGATTTATTCTGCACTACCGCAAGGGCAATATAGTCTGGTTAACTGCTTATCTTTTGTTAGTTTAAAGTGTATATTGAGGAATTTGCCCGGTATTTTTTATAATAAAGCCACAAACACATGTGAATTGCTGAATGTAAAGTGTTTAATGCATCATGTCATACCATCTAGCTCTTAGGGTCATTTTTCTTGAGTGAAAGGATGGCAATAAACTTAAACATAAAATAAAGTAAAAATATTCAATTCAATTAAATTAACTTTTATTTTTATAGCGCTTTTACTATGTAGATTGTGTCAAAGCAGCTTCACATAAAAGATCATAGTAAATTGAAACAGTGTAGTTCAGTATTTATTGTTTAAGTTCAGTTCAGGTCAGTTCAGTGTGGTCTATTAGTCACTATTGAGGGCCTAAACACTGAACAGCAAATCCATCGATGCGCAGCTCTACCGATACCAAACCATGCAAGATAGTGGCGACAGCGGAGAGGGAAAAAACTTCACCAATTGGCAAGAGTGAAGAAAAAAAAACTTGAAAGAAATCAGACTTGGGCACGATCATTGTGATCTCTCCGCTGGCCAAACATCTTGTGCAGAGCTGCATAGCAGTATTTTCATGACAGATAAAAGTAAAACCAAACTCAAGTGTACCTCACACTCATGGATATTGTTTGTTTGTAGTGTAAACGTATTATTTAAAGTTATTTCAGTACTTTTGAATGAAAGTTAGTAGCAGTAGTAAAGTGTAGGAAAAAGGTGGATCAATTCTAAGTTACATTTCCGTCCATGGAGCTGAATTGTAGTCTGCTTGTGGCAAGACTTGATCTGCGATTGTCTGAAGCGGGCTCTGCATTTGCATTCAGATGTAGATCATGTCTCCACTGCTCCTTCTTCTGATTGTATAGTCTTCTGGGCTCCATGTTCCCTCTGCCACGCATTATCTTTGCCATGGCAAATGACGGTCTGATCTTCAGCTTCTTGTCTCGTGTCAGTGAGAGGAAAACGCCCATCGTCGCCACCACTGGGGCCGGGCTGCTGTCCGGTAAGAGTAGAGGATACCAGTATTAACCCTGAGAGCTATTCATTCATTCATTTTGTTTTTGGCTTATTGATCTGGGGTCGCCATAGCGGAATGAACTGGCAACTTATCCAGCATATATTTTACACAGTGGATGCCCTTGCTGCCCTTCCAGCTGTAACCCATCCCCAGAAAGCTATTAACTGGATAAATGTAATAGTTTCTGTAATAAAATAGAGTAAAAAACAAACCCTGGTGGAGGAAAATACTTAAATGCAACTTGTGTAGAAGTATCTTTAAAAGTTGTACTTTAGTATCTATTTTATATTGATTTTGAGAATCCTCCATGTAATCTCATTGTGGTCTATTATTGATATTTAAAGTGAATTGTCTACTCATTCATTCATACATTTTTCTTTTCGGCTTAGTCCCTTTAGTAATGTGGGGTCGCCACAGCAGACTTAACCAGCACGTTTTTACGCAGCGGATTCCCTTCCAGTTGCAACCCATCTCTGGCAAACATCGACACACACACTCATACACTACGGACAATTTAGCCTACCCAATTCACCTGTACCGCATGTCTTTGGACTGTGGGGTAAACCAGAGCACCCGTAGGAAATCGACGCGAACGCAGGGAGAACATGCAAACTCCACACAGAAACACCAACTGACCCAACTGACCCAGTGGCTCGAACCAGCGGCCTTCTTGCTGTGAGGCGACGACAGCACTACCTACTGTGCCACTGCGTCGCCCTGAATTGTCTACTGTTGACATGCAAAATCACTTTTTTTTTTTGTCAACACGGGAGCTGGTCAAAATATAAAATTGAACACGTTGGTTTGCAACTTTTGAGAATTGATATTGGACAAGCCATGAATAAATAAAGAAACAAACAAAAGATTTTGCCTAGTCCTATACGCTAGCTACCACAAGTAATGAATGTGCTCAGTCATCGTAGTGAATAACTCTCCTCTTCCTCTGACAGCCATCATGGCTTTCCTGTTTGATCTGAAGGATCTGGTTGATCTGATGTCGATTGGCACTCTGCTGGCTTACACTCTGGTTGCAGCCTGTGTCTTAGTCCTGAGGTAAGTCTTCACCTTTTCCCTGTAAACATTTCAAGAGGGGTTTGATGTGCCTGCATTCAGCGATTGAAAGTATTTTTAGTTTCTCCCTTTATAATTTTTACCAGACTGAAGTAATGTTACAGCACAATAAAGTATATAAAAAACATTTTATGTTTGCTAGTATTACTTTTTCAATTGTTGGTATTAAATTGAATGTCTTATATTTTCTGTTTTGTGTTTATTTAACATTTATGATATTTCACTTTTGTCTAAATAAATGTATTCTTTAGTTTGTATGTGGTTTTAGTTATCTTAGTTTGAAATAAACCACAAAACCAGCCTTATGTTGAGCAGCTATATTTTTGTGGCAATAGCCAGAATCCATTGAATGGATCAAAATTATTAATTTTGATGGCAAAAATCATTAGAATATTAAGTATTAAATATAAATATATATATTTATTATACATTTTTTTAGGCCTGTGGCTATGTAAGGCTTTGAAAAGCATTTAGGAATATAAAATTGGACTGTTTGTACCTTTGACAAATTAACAACAATTAATTGTATTGATTTTTTTATGAGAAGAAGACTATACAGTTATTTCAATAGTTTTTAGTTTGATTATTTAATTACTGTCCACCTGAATACACTTTGACTCCTAGGAAAACAGTAAATTGCTTTCTTGAAGAAAAAGATGCAAATTAAAACAATTATTTGTTTATTTATGCTTGTAGATTTTATTATATTTTATGCACTCCCCACAGAATCATCCCAATCAAAATAAAATTATCAATTATTTTTAAATAGTTATTTAACTCATCTAAGTGAAATTGCATTCATATCGCAATATATATTGCAGAATAAAAAATATGGCAATGTTTTTTTTCCAATATTGTGCAGCCATTTTCATTCATTCTTTTCCTTTCAGCTTTACGGCTTCATTAATCTTACCACAGTGTAATGAACCATTAACTTTTCCAGCATATGTTTTTACGCAGTGGATGCCTGTCCATGTATTATTTTAGTGCCTTTAATTTTAGTCACAGATAATCCTGATGTGCAAGTTAAGCTGTAGACTCTTCTACTTCTCAGGTACCAGCCAGAGCAGCCCAGTGTGAATGTACAGTATCAGAGAGCCAGTTGTCAGGAGGAAACAGAGGCCGAGTCCATCAATGAGAGCAGTGCTGGCTTCCTGCCTGGATCTTCTGATCTCTTTAGCCTTCGCAACCTGCTGTCCCCCCAAAACGAGGAACCTTCTCGCCTCTCTGGCCTCACGGTCAACATCTGCACCAGCATATTAGGTCAGACACACACCACAAGTCAACGTGTTAATTAATAAGATGAAGTTTGAGTCTCATTTCCTTCTTCTTTTTGCAGGCGTTTTGGTGTGTGTGTTCTGTGTGGTTGCAGTTCAGGGAGGATTTCAAACTTGGACTCTTGCAGTTCTTATCTCTCTGGCTTTAGTTTGCTTGATCATCACCTTGTTAATATGGCGGCAGCCTGAGAGCAAGACAAAACTTTCTTTTAAGGTAAATAATGAATATGCTTGCATGCATAGAGTTTCATACTGTCCTCTTGCAGTGGTTTGTAATGTCAGGTTGTTGGGTTTTCCCAGGTTCCTCTGCTGCCGTTTCTCCCCGTTCTCAGCATGTTCATTAATGTGTACCTGATGATGCAGCTGGACAAAGGCACCTGGATGCGTTTTGCTATTTGGATGGTAATAGGTAAGCTATTTAGAATTAATTATACTTTTGAACTTAAAGGGCAGAAAATAAAAATTGATACAAGTTCATGCTTTAGCAACTTATTAAATCTATTACAGTGTTTCTCAAAAATGTGATGCTTGAACACAATATAGGCTAAAAATACTAGGTATGCACTGAAATTAAAATTATTGGCTAAAACCGAAAATAAACTCAGTTATTAGTACCATTGCACCTATGGCTATGACTGTACTAACTTTACTACATCAAAGCATTGCAATTGCATAAATTAATATTAAAGTTTTTTTTTTTAATTGCAAATTATTCAAATATTTCTTTAGCACATTGCAACAATGGGTTATCACTTCAAGGGATGGGGACTTCAGACATTAATACGTAGCAATTAATCAACTCAATAAATACATGTAATATCCACTATTGATATAAAAACTGATAAGATGATATTCACAGATTTGTATATAGTCAATCAAATGAACTTAAACAATTTTTAAAAAATCAACAAAATTTTGAGCTTAAACTACAAAATCAAATTTAAAACAATTTTAGGATCAGGTTTGCTTAAGTTGCAAACTAGTTTAATCATGTATAAACATCATTATAACTATGTTGCATATATATTATTGTAGCTATAGGCCTACATTATGCTGCCAATCAAAAACATAATTACATGATTTCACAGACAACTGTCCTCTGTGTGCACCTTAAATGCCAATGCTCAGAGAGCGTGAGGAGGAAAGAGTTCTTTATGATCTATATGATTTGCAAAATAAAGTTGCATATTAAGGAAATGGAATGGGTGGAAGTTGCCTTGAGCACTAGTGCAGATGAAAAGTAAAAATAAAAAGTGCATTTATGTATACAGATAGACAGAGATAGATTGACCTGTGCAGCAGCTGCTGATCGGCTGCAGACTGCTTCTGCTCTCCTTTTGTGCTGCGCACTCACTGCTTCAGCTCTGCTTCTGTGTGCATGTGAAAGACCCCAGGGTTCTCTGCATCCATCGCATCCGGATCATTTCACGTGCCCGTTGCTTTATTTCCACATTCCATTAAGGAACTTGATAACAAAGAGAGAGTCCCTTGGAGAAACTCAAGAGCAGTCCAAATGATGAAAAGACAACGCAGAAAAGCTGAGCGAATGTGGAGAAAGACGAAACTTGTTGTCCATTATAATATCTATAAAGACAGTCTTTATGCTTTTAATGTGTAACTAAAAACTGCTAGACAGACTTTCTTTTCAAACCTTATAAACAACAATGTAAATAATGCTCGTACACTCTTTGCAACAGTAGAGATCTTAACTGATAAGATCAATAATATCAGAAAGGCAATCAGCTCATCCAATCAGCCAAGTTGTGTCGATGTCAAACAAGCTCAACCACAACTTAAGAAATCAGACATTATGTCTGATTTCATGGCAATTAACGGTAAAATCTTAGAAGAGATCATGCAAATTATGAAAACATCAACCTGCAGTCTTGACACGCTCCCCACATCATTCTTCAAAACGGTGTTTACCTGTTTAGAAATGGATCTTCTAAAAGTGGTAAATGCTTCACTTTTATCAGGGATTTTTCCAAACTCACTTAAAACTGCAGTTGTTAAACCCCTCTTGAAGAAGAGCAACCTGGATAACACCCTATTGAGCAATTACAGGCCAATCTCAAATCTCCCTTTCATTGGCAAAATCATTGAAAAAGTTGTTTTTAACCAGGTTAACAAGTTTTTAAACTTAAAGAGGTGTTTAGACAATTTTCATTCTTGGTTCAGAGCACATCACAGTGCAGAGAACGCCCTTTTAAAGATAATCAATGATATCCGCCTAATTAGATTCAGGTAAAATAACAGTGCTGGTACTGCTCAATCTCAGTGCCGCATTTGACACTGTCGATCACAGCATACTTCTGGATAGGCTGGAAAACTGGGTTGGGCTGTCTGGGACAGTCCTCAAATGGTTCAGATCTTACCTTGAAGGGAGAGGTTACTATGTCAGTATAGGTGACCATAGGTCAAGGTGGACACCCATGACACGTGGAGTCCCACAAGGCTCGATCCTGGCACCTCTCCTGTTCAACCTTTACATGCTCCCCCTGAGCCAAATAATGAGAAATAACCAAATCTCCTACCACAGCTATGCTGATGACACTCAGATCTACCTAGCCTTACTGCCTAATGACTACAGTCCCATTGACACCCTCTGCCAATGCATTGATGAAATTAACAATTGGATGTGCCTAAATTTTCTTCAGTTAAACAAAGAGAAAACTGAAGTCATTGCGTTTGGGAACAGAGATGAGGTTCTCAAGGTGAATGCGTACCTTGGCTTTAAGGGTCAAACAACAAAAAATAAGGTCAAGAATCTTGGTGTGACTCTGGAGTCAGATCTGAGTTTCAACAGTTATGTCAAAGCAGTCAGTAAATCAGCATACTATCATCTCAAAAATATTGCAAGAATCAGATACTTTGTTTCCAGTGAAGACTTAGAGAAACTTGTTCATGCTATCAGCAGCAGGGTGGATTACTGTAATGGTCTCCTCACTGGCCTTCCCAAAAAAGACAGTCAGACAGTTGCAGCTCATCCAGAATGCTGCGGCCAGGATTCTGACCAGAAGCAGGAAATCAGAGCACATCACACCTGTCCTCAGGTCTCTACACTGGCTCCCAGTTACATTCAGAATAGATTTTAAAGTATTATTACTGGTCTATAAATCACCAAAAGGCCTAGGACCTCAATACATTACAGATATGCTCACTGAATACAAACCCAACAGATCACTCAGATCTTTAGGATCATATAAACTAGAAATTCCAAGAGTTCAGTCAAAGCAGGGTGAATCTGCCTTCAGCCACTACGCCCCTCGCTGCTGGAATCAGCTTCCAGAAATGATCAGATGTGCACCAACATTAGGCATGTTCAAATCAAGACTGAAAACACATCTGTTTAGCTGTGTCTTTACTGTATGAGCACTGTGCTACGTCCGACAGATTGCACTATTATGTTTTTAGTTTTTTTTTTCATTCTTTTATAACCTATTTTAACACATTTTAAATTGTTTTATCTGTTTTTAATAATTTTTATTGTCTGCATTTTATGTCCTAAACTTGTCTTTTTTATTCCTGTTTATGTAAAGCACTTTGAATTGCCACTGTGTATGAAATGTGCTATATAAATAAACTTGCCTTGCCTTATCACAGAAGAAGAGGATTTGAGATGCAGGGAATCCAAACAGAACAAATAGACATAACGCACACTTGTGCAGTTTGCGTTTTTCAGTGATAATAGTCTTTCAGTTGATAATTTTTGGTGACCAAATATTCAGTGCATCCCTAAAAAAATATTTTTTTCTGTTATGCCAGAAATTATTAGGATATTAAGAGAGCATGTTTCATTATGGTATTTTGTAAATTACCTACTCTAAATATATAAAAACCTAATTTTCAATTAACGATAGGCATAGCTAAAAGCTTAATTTGCACATTTTGGCACTTGTGTTTGGTGTGTGTTGGGTTTTTAGTAGCCGCTCTCAGCCAGCAATCTGTTCACAGCTCATCAGAACGCAAAATAATGGATATACAGATTGTAAATTTAACACAACAATTAAACATCAAATGAAGGTCTCTGTTGCACCTTTAAGTGCATGTTTCCACTTGGTATGCTGGCTCAATTTAAAATGAGCATTGATGTAATTGCTATGATTCTGTGGTTTATCTGAATAAGCAACACTAGCTATGTTTCCATCCATCTAATTGTATGCACATTTTTGATATGCACATAAAAAAATGATTGATGGAAAGCCAAGATGTCCAAAAGTCATGTGATTTTGTTTAAAGGGCAATGAAACCCCCTCGTTTCAGCAGGGTTTTTTCACACCTCTACTTCGGAAAAAGCCATTAAAGTGGGCGTGTCCAGCTCTGTTTAGGGGGAGTGTCGGAGGAGCAAAGCGGGATGGTGTGGGAGTGTTGATTTGACCCCACGCTGAGTTTCAGAGTCAAAAAACACACACGCACACAGGGGAGAAAGTGACTGTGTTTAACCTACATGGACATCTGTAATCGAATTATTTGCCAAATTATTAAATGGTTGACTCGAACTGCAGTTTGGCTCTTTCATTCAGGGAATTCATTCGTGCTCCTCGTGACAACGAGATATTTGATTTGAGGAACTGCGCTAAGCGTGTATTTTTCAAAACAATTAACTCTGCATTTCTCTGTAACTTAGATGCACTCGGCTGGTAGCGTCAGAAAGCCGCGTGTGTAATTCCGATCACAAAATGCTGTGAAAATCCTACATGACCGTAATAGTTTTGTTGGGGTGCTATGTTTACACGATACGAACGAACTGAATAAACAAAGACCACTGGTCGCTCACTTACCAAATCTTTAGAGACAGGACAATCCACAGCAACTAGAACCGCATCTTTATTAAGAGGAGACGAGCAGCGAATCCGGATCTCCAGATCTGGATCGAGAGAAAAGCTCTCGGGTAAACAATGTTCCTAGACATGTAAGTTATCTGTGTTGCGCGTTGCGTTGCGTACACTGTAATCCCTGGAGTCCAGCTGGGCTCTCACAGAGAGAAAATGAAAACAAAACTTGACTTTAGCAAATTATGAAAGCAGCACTGCACGCTTGTTTTGCCAACACAATGTGGCATCTACACTGTAACATTAATGAAGTTGCACAATAGAGCGCGCTGATTGGTTTGAACCAAGCCTTACTCATGCTTTAATGCAGCACACTCGGAAATGTAATACGGTACACCCAGGTACAGGCGTCCAGTCAACATGCTGGAACACACGCTAAGATCTCATGGCCGTGACGCAGCTTCAAAAATTTGTTTCAAACCGGAGGTACGAATTTGCTCGAAGTAACGCAAAAACTACCAATTTTTAATTTTTAATGAAATATGTGTGTCCTAATAGTGTTTTTAACAGTGTGGGACACATTTACGACTGTCAACAGCTCAAAAAATGTGTTTTGTGTTTTGTGACCCTTTAAGAGATCATATGATAATAAAAGTCTGTGTGAATAGACAATCAAGCAGACTGACCACATTGTAAAACATCTAAAATGTTGTTTCAGTCATTTCATTATTACTACACTAACCATTTCATTTTTAGTGTTATTATATTATTAATTACCTCCAGAATAGTCAAGAGCATTAGTGCTCCACATCTCACACATTCAAATGCCACTGTGCGTTTTTGTGTTTCTGCATTGTCTTTTGAGGCGCAAGTAATTTATTTAAATAAAGAAAAGATTCTTGCAGCTTCTCCTGCCACAGCAAATTCCGTTTTACTTTTGATATTTAGCGCCAGTTAATCAGGAAGTGACTATTTTGTTCTTTTTGGCTCAGTGGTAAGAAACACTGCTATATTCGCACATCTTTAATGTAAAATTAATTATAAATATAAATCGTAAATTTAATTCACATCTTTGGATGGAAACATAGCTACTGACAGCTAAACTTTGATGTGCTCTAAATAAAGGGACCAAGACTGCTTAAACAAGTCTCAGCTAGCTTTTTTTTGGTTTTTTTAACTGTACTGCAAAGGCAAAATAGACCAAACTAGTATTTATTTTTATTTTTTTTCAATAGCATTATGGCATAAATGCATACCATATCGTCAGTATGGTGAAAGAAGTCAGTTTTGGTCAGGCAATTTGTGACCACTTCATACATTTTTGTTGGGCGATGTATTTATTTTTATTTGTTTTATTTTTTTATTAAACGAATTTTATTTGATATCTGTATCTTAATTTCAATGCATTTTTGTTGGTCAGTTATTTAAATTATGAAATTAAACAAGAAGATATGAGTGTATATCCTAAAATAGAAGTAGACAACAGCCTTAAACGACTAATAACATGAAAGTCAATAAACTATGCAACTATTAATCTGACAACAAGTCCAAGGTAATTTTCTGTGTTTTAACGTGTTTTGTTTCTGTTTAGGATTTATTATTTATTTTGGCTACGGGATCTGGCACAGCACAGAAGCAGCATTAGCACGGAGCGAGACCGAAGACATCAACGCCTTCAAACCCACAACAACAGATGAAGCAGCCACACCTGAGAAAGAGGCGTTTTTGGGCAACTGTATTAATGACCGAGCAGAGGAGAACAGTGACCCTTGAGAAAACACTGTTCCAGAATGTGCTCCATGTACCAGTGTACGACAAACACAAAGCTGCTACTGACATTCATGATGCTTCTATCAGATTGTATGTGTTACTGTAGATCCAAAGATTCTTTTAAGGCAGCATTACAACATGTGACGATTTTAAAATTTGCCTTTTATTCAGGTAAACCATGAAGGACAGCATTACAAATGTGTACATATGAATGTACATTGCACTATTAGAGCAACAAGTTCTTCCTTTTTGTCTACTGGGTTATTTTAATATATTTTATTTTTGTAGCATGTTCTCATCGTGCTTTTTTTTTAAAGGGGTCCTGAGCAAAACCCATGTAACATTGTTAACCATTATTCTTCAGCGTGCATTTTGTATATGAATGCAAAATTCTAATACAATTTGTTACTATTTTGTTTCTTTCTAGCTTGTTTTAAAACAGTAATAATTACTCGGCTAATTTCAAATGCATTCATCTTTATAATGTTCACCTTTATTTATCTGACCTAAACCCCAAAGTATGCTTCACTGGTAATTCGTCCTCTGAGATACTGAACTGTTTGCACAACATTAACCCTTTTTACATAATATAGATAACTCATAGATGTGCTACTTTTCCCTCAAGCTGTCAAGTAACATTCTACTGAACTGAGCAACACGCCCTGGTTGATTCATGATTATGAGTAAAAATCATTATTAAAAACCATAAATATAAATGTATTATGTTGCATCTAAAATGAAGTGTGCATACATAGCAAGAAGTATACTTTGGGACTAGTATGCTAATTTCTTGGCATGAGAATTTTTCTTGCTGCTTTTCACAGCTTTGCAGGGAAGCCAGAGAGATTTTTTTAAATATTCAGTCAGTGCCTTTTTCCTAACTTAATGGAGTGAAAGAGACTATCTCCTCACACTGGTGACATGTATGGTGCCATACATTTATCAGTCTGCTAAATGTCATACTTCTTTAACCCTTGTGTGCTGTTGGAGATGATTTTGCCAAAACTTTCTATGCGTTTCAGCAAATGGAATAATTTTTTATCACAAATTATATTTTGATACATATTTTGGAAAAAATAACACTCACATTTACTACCCTTTTGTTATGTTAGTGGCTGTTTTGCCCCATTGACTTTCATTATAATTATATTTTTGATTGCAAAGCCATGACACCATATTACTAGTATTTATTCTTGATTGTTGGTGGTTTTTCTTGTTGGGAAGTAGTCAAATTTGTAATTTTTTTTTCTGTTGATTATCAGTGGCAGTGCAAAAAGCTTAATGTGTGGCTTTTATGTGATGCATATTGTGTGCTTAGGAGTGTGAGAGAAACCATTGTGCAAATATTTTGATGTGTCTTAGAAAATAAGAATCCTCAGCTCTTTGTAACATAAGTAAGTGTATTTATGCACGCACATTATAATCTGCTGTTATACTCCATAAAACTCCATATAAACGCCAGGAACTTATTTGCACAGGCCTATCAAAAGGGTTAATGGTGAGAACTAATGATGACCAACAATAGAAATTACACATTTTTTTCTCTTCCCAACAAGAGAAAGCACCAACAATCAAGAATGCATGATTATATGCTGTCATGGCTTTCAAAATCAAAAAATGTCATTTTAATGGAAGTCAAGGGGGCAAAAACCACCACATAACGAAAGGAAAGTAAAAATATAAACAATACACAAGGGTTAAAAGTATTTGTAATGAGGGGAGAAATACTATTGAGATTTAAGGCTTGGATATAGAAAAAGAGGCTTTCATGAGGAATGCATAGCCTGTTTGTTTCATTTTCTTTTTTTATTCAGCTGTTGTGTGCTTGTTAATTCCCTGTTTGCAGTTTTACACTTTCATCTGGTGTTGGGCTTTTTATCTTTTTTTTTTTTTGTACAGTATTTTTTGATGTGTGTATTGTACTTCATTGTCTATTCATTTGTCTTGTTAGTTTATTCAAAACCAAAAACAAGCCAAAGATTGTGATTTGTGTTTTTATTATGAATTGCTACATTATCTTGTTGACATTTAGCATTAAAAAACAAAACAGATCTACTTAGAAAACTGATTTTCCAAAAAACATGTTCAGCAGTTTAAGTCATTGTCAAAAATTTGGCTGTTCATGTTGTTAAAAAGGAGCTGTAAATGTACTGTAAATATTAGCTGTTTTTCCTGCAATAAATTATTTTTTGTTTGTAAAAAAAAAAAAAAAAATTAAATTGTTTTTTCATTTTAGTAATGAACAAAAACTTCCCAGTGATAGATTGCTGCTGGAAGGGCATCTGCTGTGTAAAACATGCTGGAAGTTGGCGGTTTATTCCGCTGTGGCGACCCCAGATTAATAAAGGGACTAAGCCGAAAAGGAAATTAATGAATGAACAAAAACGATCAGTTTGTATTAATGCCTGGTGTTGAAAGTGTTTTCTGCACTCCCAAGTTATATCATGTTTTAAATTATTTATTAATAATATATTATGATATTCTAAGATGCCCAAGGTTGAAATAAATGTTTTCAGCATTAAATGCAATTTTTAGGCGTGAATTACATTTTACTTATTAAATAATTGTGCGCGGCAATTGATGCGGTGTTTTGAACATGAAAGTAATTTTTCAACAACATTTTAAATACATCAGTCAAATTGCTGGCGTTTGTCTGTTCACTGTGTATTGGTATTAAATGACTCCGCCCATGAAAGCGACACGGACTTGTTAGGAACTAAATTAAGACGCAGGTGAGTTTAATTTATTCACCTAAGCTCTTGGAATTACGCCTGGTGAGTTCTGACAGTCGACATAAAGGACTTGGTGAGTTGTTTTCTCTCGAAAACATGGATTGTTTTATTAAACGTGGTCAATACATAAACAGTTTTTTCTTTAAACTCTCTGTATTTTGATCGAGGTGACACTCAAAATAAGTTCATTTGTACGGAAAAGATATATCACAAGATAACTGAATGCAGACGTATGCAAAAAAAAGATGTCTGTTTAATAAAAAGCAGCACTAAACTTTCGACATTTTATGTCAGCTAGCATGACGCTAATGTGCAGTCCTTGCCCATGGTTTGGCCTAATTTATTAAAAAAAAAAACATACATTTACAAATTGATAAACGCGACTTTTTCGTTACCTTTAAGTGAGAGACTACTTCAATAAAAACATAAGAGATTTAGAAGACTTAAAAACAACAGTAGTCCAGGGATTTATAGATGCTTACAAAAAGAAATGGGGTAAGGGAAGCCAATATAATTAGTACAAATGAGGAATGGTGAACTATTTGGGAAACAGATGATTACGATCAATTCAGATTCATAGAGGGAGTTTATTTGGAAAAATGTAATCAGGTTCTTTATAACATCTAAAATAAAATGCTTTCAAACTAGAGATAAAAAATGGTCAAAGCTGGAGAAAATGTGGAAATGCATTTGATGAATATTTCCACATATTTTGGGATTGTAATGTTATACAGACCTATTGGCAAGATTTAAATGAAGAGAGAAATGCAATGGATTGAATCTGGAATGTAATTTTTAAATTATGTACCAGGGAATTTACTCTTTAAAAAATACCAAAAAAAAAAAAAAAAAAAAAAAAGCATATCTTCTTACACACTTCTAATAACAAGCAAAAAGGCAATTGCAAAGAAATGGCTCAAGGAAGATCCTTTATCTCCATCTCCATCACCTCCATCAATTTTATTGTTTTATTATTGTGGTGCTTTGTGTATATATACAATGTTTCTAATGTTATATATACAATGCTTATAATTGTGTGGGGCTAACTTTAAAACCCACTAAAAATAGCTAAAAATAGTTCTTATTAGGCAATAATAATAAAAAAAAAGTGGTTGATTGTAGTGAGAGAAGATGTCTGTAAGGATGTTACAAAGCTCAGTGTTACAAAGCATTGCACAAACGTGTGCAGTAAAAGTCACCATGGACTGCTAATGACATTTGCCTTTCAAAGATGCGCACGTGAGAGAACAATGCACTCTGAGTGAAGCAACGGGCAGTGAAGTTGTGTGTTGCTAATTATCGTTGTTTGGTGGATTTGTTTGTGTTAAATCACATTTCTATTCACCAGTGTGGAATAAAGCAACTGAAGTTTACTAAACCAGACTCATGCATTCTAGTCGATGCACCACAGTGATCATCACCTTTAAACTGGCAACTTAGTTACATACTTCTCAACACTCAGATTTCTTGTTAGTTTTTCCATTTTAAACTGTAGTATCCAAAAATGTCATTCTGATGGAACTATGTTCATGTTTTGTGCACAGATGCTCTAAGGATTGCTTCACCTAGTAGTTCATCTGTAAAAACAAATGTCAGTAAAAAACAACAATTATTCATTTTAACAGCAGCTGGAAGAACAGTCTTCTTGTTTGCATTACGATAACATACTTAAAACTTAAATGATAAAGAGAGAGTGTGAAGTGTACTTAAGTTCTTAAGTGCACAATTAACATACAGTGCTCAACATATACAAGTACACCACTCACAAATCTTTCATTATATTTGTGCTTACACATTAGATTCGTCAGTACTGAAGCCAAACCTGGAGCTTATCTAACAAAATAACTCATGATAATGGTCCAAGTTAGTTCACCCAATTTATATGTTATGGAAAAATATTAAATAAAACGTTTAAATAGAGCAAAAATCAAGAGAAACAAAACATTCTACAGTTTTGTTGTAATTTTTTTTAGTTTGTAATTTTTTTTTCAAATATTTTGCTTGAATTTATTTGTTATTTCTACAGATGTTTAATGGCTAAAATATTGTTTAAATAAATAAATATATCCATTTAATAAATCTGTTTTGTTTAAATGCACCAAAATGTATTACTTGTATTCGCTGAGAAATGGATGTAAATATTCATTTTCAAAATGGGCTGTACTCAATTATGCTGAGCACTGTAATATTTATCACAAACTCTTGTTTCAACTCATCACATTTATGTTCTTGTGAAATCCCTCTATTCCATTAATAGTTGTCTAAAACAAACACAATGTACAAGTATAAAGGAATTTTTATGAGCAATTTTACCGGTACTACTGAATTATGAAACTGCATTGTGTTTTGCCTTAGGGATTACAGGCGTGACAATTCAACAGGTTATTTGAAACACTGAGGCTATGCATTGTTGTCTTTTTCTTTTTTTTGTGTTTTCTTGTGACAAATCCAATATTAACTACAAAAACAAATATTATCAAACCATTTAAGAAATTTTTAAGGACTTTAAATTGTTGCAATATTAAAGGGTTAGTTAACCTAAAAAAATTGTTAATAATTGCTTACCCTTATGTTATCCCAACCCCTGAGATCTTTGCTAATATTCTGAACAAATGATGATATTTTAAATTAAATCATGGGTTCAGAGACACTCAAAGTCCAGAAAAGGCACCAAAATATTCTTAAAACAGACCA